CTGTGCTCCGCAACGGGAGAGGCCACAACAGTGAGGGGCCCGCATACCAAAAAAAAAAAAAAAAAAAAATGACAGTTAATTAAAGCAATGTTGACACAATGTAAACTATAAACAGACTAATAAAAAAACTTACCTACCATGGCAATTTGGTAAAAGTGCTACAAAGTTTCTAAATATGTATCTTTTTCTGTTTTTTTTAAAATTAAGTCTTCGACAATGACAAATTAATCCTAATTATCAAGGGCTATTACAAAAAATATATTCAACCAAATCTTATATATAAATGCTTTACCTTAGTGCTATTTTGTTTATGAAAGATTTTGTAAAGAGTCAAAGCTGGAATCAAGCTATCAGTGTTTGGTATAAGTGTATATATTTTAGAGAAAATAAAGAGCTCTGGGCCCTGGAAATTATTTATTAAAACATTATCACGGGGGCTTCCCTGGTGGCGCAGTGGTTGAGAGTCCGCCTGCCAATGCAGGGGACACGGGTTCGTGCCCCGGTCCGGGAAGATCCCACATGCCGCGAAGCGGCTGAGCCTGCGCGTCCGGAGCCTGCGTGTCCGGAGCCTGTGCTCCGCAACGCGAGAGGCCACAGCAGTGAGAGGCCCACATACCGCAAAAAAAAAAAAAATTATCACGGGGGACTTCCCTGGTGGCTTAAGAACCCGTCTGCCAATGCAGGGGACATGGGTTCGATCCCTGGTCTGGGAAGATCCCACATGCTGCGGAGCAACTAAGCCTGCATGCCACGACTACTGAGCCCGCGAGCCGCAACTACTAAAGCCCGCGCACCTAGAGCCCGTGCTCCTCAACAAGAGAAGCCACCACAATGAGAAGGTCATGCACCACAACGAAGTATAGCCCCCATTCGCCGCAACTAGAGAAAGCCCGCGTGTAGCAACGAAGATCCAATGCAGCCAAAAATAAATAAATAATAAGTAAATTTATATAAAAAAATTATCATGGGCCTGGTGGCCTAGTGGTTAGGATTCCAGGCTTTCACTGCCGTGGCTCAACCAGCATTCAATCCCCGGTCGGGGAACTGAGATCGGCAAGCCACACGGCCAAAAGAAAAAAAAAATTG